AAAATAAAAATGATGTTTTGACAAATAAAATTTTATGTGATAAAATAAAAATGATATTTTGACAAATAAAATTTTATGTGATGTATGACGGTAAGCTAAGGTGTTAACACTCGATGCTAGGCCGCTATTGTTATTTGATATTGTGATGATTATTATTGATGTTGTTTATGATTAGACTTTGATGAATATTATTATTAAAATAATAATTACGAATGATTAAATCATGTTTAGAAAAAATGAATATATTGATGATTATAAAAATGATTTGTATTGTTAAGGATATCTAGAAGAACTCTAAGATATACCCACTTGAAAAATTGATGATCATTATTAAGGATATCTAGAAGAACTCTAAGATATACCTCCTTGACCAATTTATAATTCGGGGTTAAAACGTACGTACGGGATCCAGACCGGATATCACCCACCCGACAGATCACTGTTCGGTTGGTACGTAATCCACGTGACTCATAGGGTGGATTATCGATTCTTGTGTTCTGCATTAAACTATTTCTAGTTTAAGGGCCTGGTTAGAAATATTGCCTTAGACTAGGAATAGCTAAGAGCTTGTATAAAAATGATTTGGCCTTAGATTAGGAATAATTTAAGAGCACTGATGAAATATTTTGAATATTGAATATATCATGAAATGACTTAAAATAAAATATTATGAATATTATGAATAATGTAAGCTTGAAATATGTATTGTGTGCATGATATCAAATGGTTAATTATGAATTGAGATTCAATTTATATGGATGTTCGATGCATTAGATATGCTTACTCAGCTTTAACGCTGAGCGTGTAGTATGTTTTATTTGCTCCACGCAGGTAAACAAAAAGAATGATGTGATGGAATCCTGGCGGCAGACGGAGCGAGATGGTAAAAGTTGATGTGTAAAATGAATTAAAGTTTAAAAAGACATAATATTATTATGTTTTGTAATTGTTATTTATTCAGCTTCCGCAACATTAACTACTCTGTTATTATTCTGAATACTTTATTATGAAATAAAGTTTTAAAATGCTTGAAACCATTTGAATGTTTACAAATACCAAGTTTATACTTTAGTCCGAAAGGGGCTGCAGACCTGGACGGATTGAGGTGTTACAACGACGGTCGACCGTTCGGGTCTACAAATCTTATTTTTGATGTTTTTGGGTGTCTTAAATATTTCTTTAGGGATTTTAAACACCTTTAACACATACATGTTTTTGGATTGTTTTTCCAATATTAATATTTGTTTATGTATATTTATTAACTTTATGAATTTTGTGTATTTTGATCTCAACACATAGATGACTTAGATATGTATCACATATATATTTGTGGGATGATTTCAACATATGGATTAGTATATATGTTCATGTACGTATGTGATGAAAGATTTGACAAGTCTAATGAAAGGGCACAGACCTGGAAATCATCGGTCGAAACCTTACGTATGAGTGGTAGTGAAAACAACATCGAAATTCACCAACTTTGTCATTCCCGTCACAATTGAAATGCCTGCTGTATTTTGGGTATATCTCCATTGTTCCTTCACGGAATTGAAAACCAATTGATTCTGTGGATTCCTAAAATGTAAGGCTATAACTTTTGTGAAGAAACCATATCAAAATAATGAACTTAAATAGGCCTAACATAGCTTAGAAGTGGATGGATATGTGCTGCCAGGATTTCAGTATTTCGATGAACAACAATTCCGACGATCAACTCATCAACTTCAATATTCCAACATCGAACCTTCTCTGTGATATCTCCCGTAAGTTCCTAAGAATCGTTAGAGAGTTTATGGTAAGTATTTGGAATGAAACAATATGAATTTGGTGAAGAAAATGGTCCAACTCGAGGAGCTCGCCACCACTGGCGCAGTCTTGGTATTTTAACGAAATCACGAACCGTTTGTTGGGCTAGATTCGTAACGTCCGGGGCTACAACTTTGGTATAGAAAGTTTTTCGAGATAATGAATGGAAAATTACAGTTTTTACCATGAAGTTGTTGCTGCGTTTTTCAACTCAGATTTTGGATACTTGGATGGTTTCTTGCGTACTTCCCCTTCTTCCTTGGCACACAAATATGGATTTTTTGTGTTTTCCTCCTTCCTTGAGGTTCGGCCGATAGAGAGAGAGAGATGGTGAGGAGGAGATCAGAGATGATGGGTGATGTTGGATATGATGGTGGATGATGATGATGTTATGGTGTGGTTTTGGGAGTATTATATAATTATTTGGAGTGTTGTATTAGTGGAGTTAGTGGAGGGTTGAAAATAGGATTGTGAGCATCACAAAGGGAAGCTATGTGATTTGGCAGAGATTTGGAAAATAAAGTTTTGGCTTTTTGCCAAAACTAAATAGTTTACTCCAAACGGTACGTGCTTTTTTGCCCAAGCTATTCCGAATTGAAAACGGATTGTGTTTTTGGAATGAGATTGTCAAAACTAAAACTTTGACGTAATCAAAATACTTTTCTGAGAACTTTTATTTTTTAATTGTCTCGGTCTGTCTCTGTCATAAATTAATTTTATAATATGAATGAGATAAAAATACATGAATTAAATCCAAATGATGAATATGGTGTCGTTAAGTGTTAAAGATTAAGATTTCTAATCTTATAAAATAACTTTTGGGAGAAAGACCAAAGTAGGACTAAAACATTGAAAACATACCAAAATAGGACTTCCATGTTTTTATTCCCGAAATAGGACTTACATTACCAAACATGGTCATATACATTACCAAAAAAGTATAGTAATCTGCACATATACACTGCCACATTACCACAATGCAAAGTCACATTACCACAGTGCAATGTTCTATTCCGAGGAAAAAAAGAAAGTCTTATTTTGGTACTTTTTTCTATGTTTTAGTCCTATTTAGGATGATTTCTAATAACTTTTGAATTGAGTTTAATTTATGGGTCAATGTTATAAATTTTAATATTTAAAATCGTCATAACTTGAAATCTATAAATTAGATTGGTTCATAAAATGTACCGGTGGATTCGTCTCTTCGAGACATATCCATTAAAAATAAGTTTTTAACAAAGAGTCATTATTATTTTTGGGCAATGTATAAATATTCTTTATTGGACAAAAACTACTTTTGTTTTATAATAACTTTTAGGCCATATTTTGTGTTGATAAGTACATTTTGTACTTATTATTTTTCTTATATTTAAAAGTTTTTGTATGTAAATAAAATTAATTAAGGTAAAAATACTTATTTTCTTTTCTAAATTTTTCAAAGTTGTCATTTTGTTTATAAAAAAAGGGTGTTCAAAACAAATTTGGAATTTTCAAACAGAAACTTGTTCAAACAGAGTAAAAACTTGAAAGAAAATAAAATATTTGAGACATTTAAATTCAATTTCGTCCATAGCTCCAGAAGAGAAAAATGTTCAGCACAAAATATGGAACTTGCCACAGAAATTCGAAGCCCAAAAACCAAGGTTGGGCCGGGCGACATGCTGGGCGACCGCCCCGGACCCAGCCCCGGGATTCAATTGCAAGATAAGGCAAGAAAACGACACGTTTTGCAGGAATATTTTTATCAACTGCGGGGCGACCTGCTGGGCGACCGCCCCGGACCCAGCCCTGGAATCCAAACGGCAGCTAATTGCAACTGGCAGCAACTTGGGGCGGAATATTCGGATATTCCTCCTAGGGCGACCTTCCGGGTGGCCGCCCCACTCCCCGCCCCGGAGATTCCTAGGCCTATAAAAGGCAGCGTCGATCAGCCTTCTTCATCATCATCCTCTCTTCGTTTTTTCCTCTCCATAGCAGCGAGAATCATTATAAAATTGTAGTTTTAGTTTATTTTGGGAGTTTCAGTTCCAGTACTGTTTCAATTCCGCTTTTCTGGAAGTTGTAAGTTTTTTTAATTAATATTATAAACATGTTTTGTTATTCAATTTTTGCACTTTTTATTATTACTATGTCTTTTTAAACATATTAGGAATGTGAATTGAAATTAGGGTAGTAGGTATGTAGGAAAAATAATTATGTTGGAGTATTAAATTTAATTAATTGAAATGTTAAGTTGCTAGTAATTGTTGAATGTTCTAATTAATTAATCTGGCCAATTTATTAATTAATGTTGAAAAAAAATTATTATGTCCATTTGTCAATGAATGAGAAAAATAATTTAGTCAATCAATTCTAGCACATTAATAATGCCTAGAAATAGGATAAAATTAATGGAGTTATTGTGACAGAATTACTCACTAGTTAAATTAATTAGTTAATTTAATAATCCAACTAGTTAAATTATCTGAAATATTCCTACTACCTGAAATCAATTCATATTCCTTTTTATCAAACAATTATTTTATTACTCTGTCCAACTCAGTTTAATTCCAAACCACAAATACTATTCGAATTTAGAAGGCTTCCAAAACCAATAAGTAAAACTTTGCCTAACTAGATTTTAATAGAAAATTTATTTTAACACCAATCCACGTGAATACGACACAGGAATAAATTGATCTCTTTTAGAGTGAAATTTACTACCGCTAAAACTCATTCGTCAAATGGCGCCGTTGCCGGGGATTGGTGCTTAATTTAATTTTTCTGTTATAAATTTTTATAGTTAGCCTAGTAGAAAATTGGTTAGGTCGATTTTCTAGCATCTTTACATACTTTGGCAAAATTACATGCAAACCCGCTCAACTAGTGGGGGTAGTTTTGCTCCGTTCACTGAAAATCCTGAGAAAATTCTCCGACAAAATACTTTGAAAAATTCACCCGGTGGGGATTTTGAGGAAGAAGAAGAGATAGAGGTTGATCAGCCCATAATGGAGGAAAATAACGAACGTAGGCGGACTGTGCTCCAAGCCATGAGCCCCGCCTATGTTGAAGAAGACCCCATCAGACTCCCGAACACTGACGCCCACACATTCGAGATCAAACCTGCCATGATCCAAATGGTCTCGAATAATCAGTTCAGGGGTATGAAGGGAGAAGATCCAAGGGCCCACATGCTATGGTTCTCCCGAACCTGTCAGACGCTGAAGATGAACGGAGTGACCTCCGATCGTATCAAACTATCGCTCTTTCCTTTCTCACTTCGAGATAGGGCGGCCCGTTGGTTGAATACGTTCTCAAAGGGTCATTTCAAAACCTGGGAGGCACTACACCAAGCTTTCATGCACGAATACTTCCCACCATCCGCCATCGCCAAAATCAAACGATCGATCCAGAATTTCTCTCAAGATTCGATCGAATCCATAAGCGAGGCATGGGAAAGATTCAAGGATCTGAAGATCAAATGCCCACCTGCCCTAATTGATGCTGATAGCCTGATGTTCCATTTTTATCAAGGACTTCTGGTGCCGTCAAAGAAAGAACTCAACCACTCTTCTAAGGTCGGCTCTTTCTTAGATATGACACCGAAAGAAAATGAGGATCTGGTGGAGAGACTAACTTCAAATCCCAAATACTGGTACGAAGACCGAGCACCACAACAGAAGGCTGGCATGTACGAAGTGGATTCCTTGACGGCACTTAAAGCAAGCATGGAAAGTTTGATCAAACGAACTATTCAAGATCAGTTCAGTGCAAGCTCCCGATCCAACAAACCATACGAGTCAGTTGCTCAGGCTGATAACTACTGTCAAGGCAGTTTAAGTTCGCACTCAAACGAACTTGTTCTATCTTGTGAATCATGTACAGGTACACACTTGACAGCCCAGTGCCCTTACTATGAAATCCCGATCAAGGAAAAGCCTAGAGAAGCAAATTTGGCCCAGTATGCAAACAAGGGGGAAGGACCATGGGCCACGAACCAGTACCAACCAGCCCTCTGGCGCGATGATCTTTCAAGAGAGCGCAACAACAATTTCCAAAGAAACAATCGTCCGAGGGACGATTTCAGACAAGGAGGCTGGAACAACAACTGGAATCAGAGAGGGCCTAACTTCAACCAAGGGGGGAATACTCAAGCATATGTCCCTCCACACCAGAGACAAGCTAAGGATCCCACGACCGAGATGAAGAAAATGCTAGAAGAAAAAGACAAGAAAAATGAAGATAGAATCCAGAGATTGGAGGACTCGATGCGACAACTTATGGAACAAATGACGATCCGACCTCCAGGAACTGCCAGCCAAAACTGAAAACAACCCACGAGAACACCTCAAGGCTGTTACCTTGCGAAGTGGGAAAGAAACGAAGGGCATTGGCCAGAGTTCTGAACCAACTCTGAAAGATTATGTGGCTGAACCAATCAATGAGCCAACTGAGAAGAAGAAAGAAGAAGAAAAGAAGGACGAAGAACCTTTCTAGTCCCAATATCCAAACAGCAATCTCCCGCTAAAGAAGGTGACCATACCCTTTCCTTCAAGGGTAAAGAAGAGCAAGGATGAAAAAGCCTTCAAGAAGTTCTTAGACATCATGGGCCAAGTTGAAGTCAAACTGCCCTTAGTCGATGTCTTGATGGAAATGCCAAAGTACGCCAAGTTCTTGAAAGACTTGGTCACACATAAAAGGGACTGGGAGGAACTTCCAATGATCAATCTCAACGCAAGCTATTCCGCGTTGTTACTCCAGCACATGCCTGAAAAATGCAAGGATCCAGGTAGGTTCTCTATCCCTTGTTCTATCAAAGACATGCATTTTAAACATGCCCTAGCAGACTTAGGTGCAAGCATTAATCTGATGCCCACATCGATTATGGAACAGTTAGGAATTTCTGAACTAAAACCATCTCGAACATGTGTTCAACTAGCGGATAGTTCTGTCCGTTACCCTCGGGGAATAGTTGAGGATGTGTACGTAAAGGTTGATAAATTCACATTCCCAGCTGATTTCGTAATCCTTGACATGGAAGAGGATTCTGAAATGCCTCTGATCTTAGGCCGGCCATTTTTAGCAACTGCTAAGGCCTTGATTAATGTTCATGAAGGGAAAATGACCTTGAAAGTTGGAGAAGATGAGTGTACCTTCAAATTGACAGACCCTACTGAATTTTGTCACTCTGTGAAAATTTTAAAAGACAAAGGGTCTGTTGAGACACTTCTCGGCCTGGAGGAGATTTTGAAGGTTGAGGGGATTGAACCAAGTAAGTGTGAGGATGTTCAGGAAGTAGAGGCTAAGGGACTTGATTCCCTAGAATTGAAGCCACTTCCCAAACATCTTGAGTATGCATTTCTGGATGACGAGGGCAAATGCCCAGTCGTCATCGCATCTGATCTGAGTGTGGGACAAAAGGCCGATGTAATGATAGTCCTCCGAAAACACAAGCAAACTTTTTCTTGGAAGTTGGAGGATATTCAAGGAATCAAACTGACAGTCGGTGGGTTAGTCCCATTCATGTTGTCCCAAAGAAGGGAGGAATGACAGTTGTTCAAAATAAGAAGGGTGAACTTGTGCCCAGTCGCACAGTCACCGGGTGGAGAATGGTAATTGACTATCGCAAACTAAATGATGCCACCCGGAAAGACCATTTTCCCCTTCCATTTATTGACCAGTTAATTGAGAGACTAGCGGGGCATGCTTATTACTGTTTTCTCGATGGAATGAGCGGTTACTTTCAAATTCATGTCAACCTCGAGGATCAGGAAAAGACCACATTTACATGTCCATTCGGAACGTTTGCCTTCCGGCGAATGTCCTTTGGTTTATATAATGCCCCTGCCACCTTCATGAGATGTATGATCGCAACCTTTGAGAAATTTATTGGCGATTTCATGGAGGTCTTTATGGATGATTTCTCCATCATTGGGGAATCATTTGAAGAGTGTCTCAAGAACCTCGAGAAGGTGTTGAAGCGGTGCGAGGAAACCCACATGGCCTTAAGTTGGGAGAAATGCCACTTTTTGGTCAAGGAAGGGATCGTACTAGGGCATAAGGTCTCTAGCAAAGGAGTCGAAGTCGACAGGGCAAAAATTGAAACGATAGAGAAACTTCCCCCACCAACTTCCGTTAGAGCCATCCGTAGCTTTCTTGGCCACGCTGGTTTCTATCGAAGGTTTATAAAGGATTTCTCTAAAATAGCTAAGCCTTTGACCCGTCTGATAGAAAAAGGAGCAGAATTTGACTTTGATGACGAATGCCTAAAAGCCTTTAACACTCTAAAGGAAAAATTGACCACCGCACCAGTCCTTGTGGCTCCTGACTGGACCAAACCATTTGAGCTTATGTGTGACGCTAGTGATCAAGTGATAGGGGCTATTCTTGGCCAACGGGAGGGTAAAAACTTCCATTCTATTTACTATGCTAGTAGAACATTGTCAGGGCCACAACTGAATTACACCACCACCGAGAAAGAATTCCTCGCCATAGTATATGCTCTGGAAAAGTTTAGGCCTTACCTCATTCTGTCAGAAGTTACTGTGTACACCGATCATTCGGCGTTAAGATATCTACTTCAGAAGAATGACGCGAAGCCTAGGCTATTACCCTGGGTATTATTGTTGCAGGAGTTTAAAGTTCAGGTCAAGGACCGAAGTGGGTCCGCAAATCAGGCTGCCGACCACCTGTCTCGTCTAGAACTAGACGTGGCCAGTCAATTTGGATAATGCACAGTCGATGAGGTTTTTCCGTTTGAGAGAATACTCAGAGCTGATGACCAGGTGCTAGACAGTGGGTTCTTTTGGCCCACCATTTTTCGAGACGCCCATACATTTGTGACCAGGTGTGAGGAATGCCAAAGGACGGGAAACATCACCCGTCGTGATGAGATGCCACAACATTATATACTTCCCTGTGAGGTATTTGATGTTTGGGGTATTGACTTCGTTGGACCATTCCCGAGCTCATACGGAAATAAATATATCCTGGTGGCAGTTGAATACGTCTCGAAGTGGGCCGAAGCCAAAGCTTGTCAGAGGGATGATGCACGCACGGTGGTGCATTTCTTGAAGAAATTGTTTACGAGGTTCGGAGTACCTCGAGTATTGATTAGTGACAGAGGGACCCATTTGCGAAATGATCCCTTGGCCAGAACCTTGCAGAGATATGGAGTCCAACACAGAGGGGGGGTTGCTTACCATCCCCAGACTCAAGGCCAAGTGGAGAACACGAACAGAGATCTGAAGGCAATCTTGGAAAAGACCGTTGCTAAAACTCGGAAGGACTGGAGTTTGAAGCTTGATGATGCCTTATGGGCCTTCCGAACTGCTTATAAAACTCCCATCAAAACTACTCCTTTCCATCTCGTTTACGGGAAATCTTGTCACCTGCCCGTCGAGATCGAACACAAAGCACTCTGGGCACTCAGAAACGTGTGTCTGGATTCATCAGCAGCAGGAAGGGAGAGATTCTACAAGTTCGATGAGTTAGATGAGTGGAGAACGCTGGCTTTCCACAACAATCTGCTATATAAGGAGCGCGTCATGAAATACCACGATGCGCACATTAAACAGTCCAAAGAGTTCCACGAAGGGGACCAAGTGCTTCTGTACAATTCCCGGTTAAGGTTGTTTCCCGGGAAACTGAAGTCTCGATGGTCTGGACCGTTTGAAGTGGTGAAGGTCTATCCGTATGGAACGGTAGAAATTCGAGGGAAGAATGGCGAATTGAAAGTCAATGGTCACCGCTTGAAGAAATTTGAGGGAGGAGATGTGTTCCGAGAGAAAACCATGATGTACCTCCAAATCTTGGAGGACTAAGAAGGAGAATTGCGTCCAGCTAAATGACGTTAAAGAAGCGCTGAACGGGAGGCAACCCGTTAAAAAAAATATAATAGAGTGAGAAAGACTTTTTGTGTGATAAAAATGATATCTGTACCGTGTACAGAATCACTGTCTAAGCTGGAATGGTACTTAAGTGGACACAACGGGTGACGCCATCGGGAGCTGAACTTGTCCCACCATTCCTACTGGGTCATTCTGTAGAAAGGTTTATTCGGGTAAGCCTAAGAGCACCTAATTGGCAGAATTCTGCCTGATCCCGAATATTCTGAATCGGTCTGGTTACAAATTTTAACACACTTATTTTAAAGAAAAAAAAAGAGTACTTTGACAGTTGTAATTTTTCGGGTAGTAAACCTTCCCAACAAAGGGTCAGTTTTCTCTCCGAGGAGTGGACGAAGGAAATTAGTTTAATTACTCTAATTAGGCGAAGATTAGGATTGGTTTATGAAAATCTTCTCGAAACGATTATAAAAAAAACAGAGTAAAAATAATTTCTTAAGTTTACATAGTATAAGTGTAGATCTGGACCTGGGGTCAGGACATCATTTGGATCTATTTTATCATATTAAATTAACAATTGGAATAATAATATTTCCATTACTACTCATCCATTTCTAGATTAGTACTTAATCCGTTGTACTTGAATATCATAGCCTTTTGGCATACAATATTTTCTCAATAAATGACCAATTAAATCTTCCGATATTAATTAACCAGATAAGGCAAGAACAATAGATTAACCATTCCAACATTAATTTAACATAAAAAATAAACAACCAAACTAGTCCGGACCCAGAGATCCGGACCCTAACTCATACTATGCAAACATGAATTAAAACAGCATTTTATTAAATAGAGTAAACTTACAACTTCCGTAAAGGCGGAACAGAATAGACCGGGATTAGAATTCATCTAGAAATTATTCTAAAACTACTAAAATGCTAAACTAATATTTAGAAATGGAATATTAAGCTCAAATCCCGAGAGAGGGGATGAAAGTGATGGGTGTATGGGGAGAATCGCGCTGTATTTATAGGAACGAAGCCAAGGCGTCCAAGTCCAAGCGTCCAAGTCCAAGCGTCCAGATCGGGACGCTTGAGCTGCTTCGGCCAACCAGATTTTGCCACGTGTCTTTCTTGGATTGCAATCTAGCCCAGGCGTCCAACTTCAAGCGTCCAACTTGGCCAAGCGTCCAAGTTGGACGCCTGGAGGCCTTGGTCCGTTGGGCTTCGCGGCTGTTTCGTGATTTTGGCCCAATTTCGCTCCATTTTGGCCCCGAACACTGTTTTTGACCTCCCGGAAGCTCGTTCAAGTCCGAATCTTGATCCCTTGATGATTTATTCCCTTTTTCTCAAATACTTGAACAAAAATGAATGATTTATGATGATTTCATGTGGAATCCCATTTTATGACTCTTAGAACGAAAATGAGGGTTTTATCCATTAAAATCACATTTTATGAGATGATTAAATA